TGAGAGTATGCCAGGTGTTTGAGAGTATGCCAGGTGTTTGAGAGTATACCAGGCGTTTGAGAGTATACCAGGCGTTTGGGAGTATGCCAGGCGTTTGGGAGTATACCAGGCGTTTGGGAGTATGCCAGGTGTTTGAGAGGATGCCAGGTGTTTGAGAGTATGCCAGGCGTTTGAGAGTATACCAGGCGTTTGAGAGTATGCCAGGTGTTTGAGAGTATGCCAGGCGTTTGAGAGTATACCAGGCGTTTGGGAGTATACCAGGCGTTTGAGAGTATGCCAGGTGTTTGGGAGTATACCAGGTGTTTGGGAGTATACCAGGTGTTTGGGAGTATACCAGGTGTTTGGGAGTATACCAGGCATTTGAGCGTATGCCTGTATACCATTAAGTGTTTATGTTCAAGAAATTTTAGCTTTATGTTTAATTCTTTTGGCACAAGTTACTGGGATTGAGCTGATAAATCTGGTATTTTCTGAATTAGCAAATCAATTTAAACATGTTTTTCTCTCTTCTTCAGGGCGTACTCCAGTGTGAGGCGGCATGTCCAACCGGGACTCCCTGGGGTTTGGGGACCTGCTTCCCCAGGATGTGATTAACGTTTTTGCCCAGGAGAAAAACAGCAAGAGGGGCCGGAAGAAGCGCACTCGCGCCTTTAGCCGAGCTTTTGGCTGGTTCAGGAAGAAGAAGAGGAAGAATCTTGGCAGCAATGGGCAGAGCCCTGGTCTGGGCCTGACTTTGGACGGTCACCGAGCCGGACATCCAGGTGGACACAAGGCAGGACAGAAGTCAGGAAGGCAGGCTCATGCTCAGGGAAACAGTCATGGTAAGAGACAACACAATGGTACTCTGGTTGGTTTTGGTACCAGCTCATAGGGTGTGTAGGTTGATGGGTGGGTGTGATGTAGAGGTGGGGGATAGAACTGCTGGTGGCACTGACCCACAACTGACCAAAAGGTGAAAACAATGTGAAAAGGGCAAAAAAGTGCATGCATTTCATTTTTTAATGCAACTCTTAGACCAAATAAAGAAGTCTAATTTATTTAATGATATATTTAATTCACAAATTTATAATTTTATATTTTGCTGTCTATTTATAATAAACTATACACAATCTAATATAAAACGTCAACTTTCCTCTCTTTTAAGGCCATTTATGTTGCACGGGTTCTTCTTTAAATTACAGTTATGTGTATATAGTTTTCTGTATTTTTAACATATATTAATAATATACTGCTGCTTCTAGGGATTTAATTTGTGCAATAATAATGTCAACCATCAACTCATATCACTTTGTCAATTATTTATTAATTTGTTGCGCATTTGGTTTTTAAAAACATGTTTTTCTCATGTTTTCTCTTTCCTCTTTTAACATTCCCATGCAGCGACTCAAGCAAAATGACATAAACCTTTTTATTATTTATAAAAACACACACAAAAAATATTTTAATGTAGCATGAAAATAAGAGGATGGCATATATTATGAGTGTGACTACATAAAATAAATAAAACTGATAAAGCTTATAATTAAAAGAAATATAGCTTTAAAAATTGCTCACTCAGATTCTGTGCCTCTGAAAAAATGACGGTTGGTTTGATTAACAACAAAATGTTGTGTTTAAACCCCTAAAGCTGAAAAACATGTTGAATGTTGGGAAAATTTGCATTTTCCTTCTGACAATAATCTCTTAATGTCAAACTGGATTGCTGTGAGGCTTCACAAACATTAATATTGTTATTAATATTAATATTATTCATAAAAATGTGTGTATTTCTTGCATCAAAGGCCTCTGAGCCTGCTCAGAGGAATTTTGCCTCCTGACCAGGTCACTCCTGCTTTGGGTCATTTAAGTCTCATTTCCCATCACAGAAAACCAAACGCCAGTGTTTTCTGAATACAATGTTTCAAGCATCCAGCAGAAAATCAACACAGTCTGTTAGGGGACACAGTAGTTACAGTAAATTTGACACCTTTAATTACACACTGCTGATTCTCGGGTGTCAACTTCCTATAAAACACATTCTGGCACAAATAAATTGCCAAATGAGATCAGCACTGCTTCATTAGGACGTTCCTGTTAATAAACAAGACACAACCGACTCTCGCTCTTAGTTTTGTAAATCAGTAAATGTTTGATTTGGTGTGAACTGTAAAATAGGGACCATGTAAATATCATAATAAAGGTTTTCCCACGTTGGTTGTATAAATCTACCCATCTGTGGTTATGATTAAACATCAGCAGATGACACATTACACTATTATTTATTCCCCCAAAATAAGCAAAAAAGCCTAAATAAAGAAGCGGTGTGTGGGATATTAATTACACCTCATGATTAAATATCTTGGAACCACTTACAGCATCAATAACTTGACGTAATCGTCGTTTATCTGTCTCTAACGTCGCCCAGCTCTTTGAGGTTTACAGACATTTGTTTCTGCACAGCCCTCTCCAGGTCCCACAATGTTTAAACAGGTGGAGGTCTGGGCTTTGACGGGGTCTTTTTTTTATTTTCAGCTCTTCAGTTGTAGATTTGTCATTGTTGTAAAGGCTGGACCAAGATTTAGCTTCCAGACAGACCTTCAACTCCAGAATAATAGTGTGAATGCTTATTAAGCGTTCACACTATTGTGATCCTGTTTATATTTATTATTATTCTTCCAGTTACTTATGCTATTCCGTATGTTTTTCAGCAGCTTTTCCGCATTTTTGTGTTATTTCAACAAATCGTATATCAAAACATTCAGCTCTTTCAGGAGAAGGGTACTATGACTTTTGTTATTGGTGCAACTTTAGCTTTTTGAATTATTTAATTTTTTTCTGCATTTTTTTCCTCATAGAAAATGAATTGAGCTCATTTTACATCCTTCAGGTCCTTTGATCGGTTTACAATCTTTTACGGCTCCTTTCACATTTTGTTCCGGTTCAGCTTCTTTCAGTTTCTTTGTGCAAATCAGCTTGTGATGCTCCTTTCAGCTTTTTTCTGCAACTTTTAGCTTTTTCTGCCATTTCATCTACTATGTAGCTGTTTTTTTTATGATAATTTAAGCTTTTTCCACTAATTCCACATTTTTTGCACTCATTTAAACTTTTTTCAACCTAATTCAGTAAAAATGTGCTCACTCTACTTCCTTCTGCTAATTTAAGCTTCTTTCTGCTATTTTGGCTACTATTCAGCTGTTTTTCGTTTGTTTGGGGTTTATTTTTTTTGCAAATTTCTGCGTTTTTCAGCCTATTTGAGCACAATACAGCCCATGCTCTTGTAGGCTCTTTCCACTTGTATCTGGTAATTTAAGATTCTTTCTGCGTTTTTAGCTACTATTCAGCAGTTGTTTGCTAATTTCAGCTTTTTTAGCTAATTTCCTAATTTGTCATTTCATAAGCTCATTTCTGCTTATTTAAACAAGATTCAGCAAATATGTTCTTTCTGCTTTCTTCTGCTTGCTTAGGCTTGTTCTTCCATTTCAGCTATATTTCAGCAAGTTTTTAGCTCATTTCAGCTGTTTTTTTTTTTAGCAAGTTCTTCAGAAATAAGTATTCACACTGCCTTTTCACAGCAAATGCAAATTCTTTAGTTTGGTTTAAAAAGGAGGTCATTGTTGAGTTAGTGAGTGCACGATGCCCAGCTCATGTGGCTGCAGAACAAGCAAATCATCAGCCCTCCTCCACCGTGCTCAGCAGTTATTATTGAGATGTTTCTGCTTGGTTTGCTCCTTCATTTTGTTCTCAATTTTCAAACGCACGTTGCTCCTGATGTCTTGATTTTGGTAAACTTTGCAAACCGAAGATGAGCTGAAAAGTCTGCTTTGAAAATATGTTGTTTTTGTGGTTATTTTCCTGGACATGTTTACAAACAAGCCAAGTTTATTTATTTTTATTAGTCTTTCTGTAACTCTGCTGTCATGATCTCTAAAAAGAAGTTATTTGAAGCGTGTAGAGCTTGGAGTGGAGCAGGAGGTCTGACCTTGGGTTGAACTTCCTGGGACTGCCACTTTAGAATTAGTCACTTGTTCTCATTGTAAAATGAGTGACTTCAGATTTAGTGACCTTGTGACCCCGGGAGATTTATGGACAACAAATATTTCTTCCTTTAAGACGCTCCTATGTCTTTCCTCCTCTGCATTAGCACACACCTGAACGCTCCACACCCACAAACTGAGAAACTTCTTTGATGAAAATGTTGATTAATCAAGGGAAGTAGATCAGCAACATCCAGCTGCTACTTAACTTCATATTTATAATAAAGTAACTTGATGTGTTCACCATCTGAAGTTCTATTTCCTTGCTTTTAAAACTAACAAAGCCCTTTTCTCACCTGAAAGTCCAAATCAGAAGTAAATTTTTGCTCACCTAAAGCCATCCATGCCATCTGTTCTCTTTCACCTTCATATATGAGCTAATTTTCCCCTTATTTGATGCTAGTTCGCTTGTAGATGGATCTGTGCCTCACATTAGTGTGCAGTCTTGTCAACAAGTAGTTTACGACAACTTGAAATCATGAAGTACTTGTTTTGTTGGACAAATAGGATGCAAAAGGGTTAAAGTAAAGGAATAAAGTGAGAACCAGTTCAAATATCATGTGCCTTGGCTCCCAGGCATGTGTGTTTGTTCACTGAAAGGGTGTTTGAACACTGATTTCCTACGTTCTGTCTGACCTGCAGGTCACTTTGTTTACCATCTTTCAAAAAATCCCACTTCCTCGTGTTCTGTATAACGATTACTTACTTACCTGGTCTTCAGGTTAAACACAGAAAGAATGTAGTTATAGTTTAAAGTCTAACCAGGGCTGCAAATAGCCTTGATTAGTCTTTTAAACATAACAAAAACTACATGAATTTAACTTGCCAAACAAATCATAACTATAAAAACTAGAGAAATTGCATTTTCTTCGAAAATGCAGTGCTTTTTAATTTTATTATTATTTATTTATTTATTTTTTATTGCAGAAGAACTTGCTGAAAAACAGCTGAAATTATCTATTTAAAAAAAGCCATGCTGAAATGTAGCAGAAATGAAAGAACAAGCCTAAATTAAGCAGAAAGAGCACATACTTGTTAAATTAGGTTTTAAAAAAGCACAAAAATTAGGAAATCGGCTAATAAACTAAAACAAAAACAAAAACATATAAAGTAGCCAAAAAGGTAGAAAGAAGCTTAACCTACGAGAAGGAAGTGAAAATCGCTGAAATGAGCTCATAAAATGTGGAATTAGCTGAAAAAGCTAAAACTTTCATAAAAACAGCTAAATAGATGCTGAAATAGCAGAAAAAGCTGAAATTAGCTGAAAGGAGCATAACAAGCTGAAATTAGGAGAATTATTTTTTTTCATTTACCCTTTATTTATACAGGTAGTCTCATTGAGCCACGAGAACTCCTTTTCAAGAGAGACCTGTTTAGGGAGCAGATGGTGGGGGTTAAGGGCCTTGCTCATGGGCCCAGAGTGGGGCGAATGAGGGTGGGGGCAGCTGTGGTTGCTTCAACTACCCCACCCACATTTTTTAATGTTGTCGGAACCGGGGCTTGAACCGGCAATCTTCCGATCACAGGCCCACCTTCTCTAACCTCCGCGCCACCACTCCCCCTCTATCTGTAAACCACTCCCCCCATCTGTAAACAGATGAAATTAGCTAAAAATGTCCTAAAAAGGTAGAACAAGCTTAAATTAGCAGAATAAAACACAACATTTTTGCCCAATTAGGCTGAAAGAAGCAGAAATTAGTACATAAAATTAGAAAGTATCTGATAAAAGCTGAAATGAGCAAAAAAAAGGCTGAAAAGTAGCTAAAAAAAAGCAGAAAGAAGCTGAAATTACAAGAGGGAAGAGCACA